TGTGGAGTCTCCTTCTCTGGAGATATACAAGACCCGCCTGGACAAGGTCCTGTGCAGCCTGCTGTAGGTGACCCTGCTTCGGCAGGGGGGTTGGACTAGATGACCCACAGAGGTCCCTTTCAACCCCTACTATTCTGTGATTCTGTGATTCTGTGATTCTGATTACTAGCATCATTCCTTCGCTGAACTTTAACAGTTCAATTGACACGTATGGGCCACAACAGGATTCTGCTTATTTTCACAAAGTGTAACAGCCATGCATTATTTCACACGTCAAACATGTCAAAACTAAATTTTATTGGGGGGGGGGTGGGGGCACGTGAGTTACACAAAGATGTAGAATGGGAAAAATCATAGTAACAACAATGCTCTTTTATTATTATTTAATATTGCTCTTACCTGTTTTTTATCAGTTGCACACATTGTTGGAAAAAGCAAGTGATATACAAGCAAGTTTGAGAAAATATTTTATTTCCTACAATCTTACCTTTGTTTTAAAGAATTGTATAAATCTTGTAGGTGTACCTACTTGTTTTATTTCCCCTGTTGCCTGGTAATATTTGACGTAGTGAAGTAACACTTAAGTATTTTCACCTCATAAGTTTCTCAGTATCACACTGTAAGCTCATAACTAAAGTTAATCTGCCTCTTTTTCATGTCTTTTTAAATCTGAAGTCAGATAGATGTGCAGTTTTACATGTATAGAAATTCTGTCTAGATCACGTAGCAAATAATTGGAAAGTTGGAAGTTCACCAACCTGCAGTCGTGAGACCATGAGGACATTCCCACTGGTTTTAAAAACCTCAGATATCCTAAGCCATGTCTCAGAGTAAATATTCAAGTTTTCCACAAAGCCAAAAGTGAAATTAGCCTGGGAAAAAGAATAGATGGAGACAAACAAAGTAAATCTGTGCATAGCAAATCTTATGAAAAAGGAAGAATAGGCTTGTTTCAGGTCTTCTGCAACCCCTTTCCATTTCACTTTGATGGTCAGCAGTAGGGATATCTGTGCTTTCTTTTTTCTACTTAAGAAATGAAAAGTATTTGTTGCAGTCTCTGAATATCAAGCAAATAAAGGTCTTCCTGTAGCATGTATGTTTCCTACCTGAAGTATCATAAAGACCTCTTTATTTTATAGTATCTTTTTCATACAGAGTATCATACAGGTGCTTCAGAAAGACAGAAGAAAAAAATGCACTTAGGACATACTCAAATGAAAGTCTCTGCAGGCCTTGTGGGTCTTCTATGCAAACTACTTTGATTGAATATACAATAAAAGTGAAAGTTAGAACCATGGTCTGGACAACAAATTCAACTGACCAATCAGTTTATTTCAAAATACTCTCACAGAGGAAGACTTGAGTATAGCAAAATATTCTCTCAGTTAGACATAAGCTACAATTTCTCTCTTAGCCATTAGCAAACAACCATCAGGTTTTTTTCCAGTCTGTTTCAAACAGATCACAAGTGTATTGAAGATTGGAAAATATTGCAGTATCTTTTTGTTTAAATTGGTGTTATCAGTCACGTAAGTGCATTAAAGCACAATCCAGCATTGTTATTACAAAAGAGATCGTGACATTTCCCAGCAGAGTGTCTGCAATGAGTTGCAAACTCCAATTTGGGACTGCACTTATTGTAATAATTCCTATTGAAAGTACACAGTTTTTGCCATAGTATTTTAGTGCCTTTTGCAAAATCTCACTCCTAGCACAACATGGGAAAACAATTCGTGGTGGTTCTTTCTTCCCGTTTGTAGCACAGAAGGCCCCAAAGAAACCTGTCAGATAATTCAATTTTCCTGAACTAATTTATGCATTTAATTTCTATGAGATTTCCCATTCCACTTCCAAAGGCAGAGTGATGTTAAACATTAAACTCAAGTTTGGTGTCAAATCATCTAAACAAGTTCTCCTATTAACAAGCAAGACAGAAACGTCATGGAATGAAATCCAGGCCTCAACATCAGGATCTTGTAACCCACTGTACAGGCACGATAGTGACAAGCTGAGGGAGTCCAGAAAGGCTGCAAGGGTAGCAAACAGCCAGAACAGGAGACTGCTATTTCCCCAGTACAGAGCAAGCACAGGTCACACTGGAACACAAAGAGATAAAATTTTAAGACATCATCAGAAATTGTTGTATCAAGCAGCTTGGTAGAGCTCAGATCGTAGTGCTTCTTGACTTGATTCTGAACAACTCAAAAGATTTATTTTATTTTGTTGAAGTTACTTTCAAAGAGGTATTCAACTTCCTTACACAAACAATAAAAAAAAAACTTGCTGCAGCAGAATGGATTTTTGAACTTTATATAAACTTTATATAAAGTAACTTCTTTGAAAGAACTTAAAAGCAGCAAACGGGTAAGTTGTGTGCAGGAGGTACAGAGACTATTTAAGACAACATAAGGAAAACTGAACAAATACATATTGCCTATCAAAAAAAGATTTGAGAAAGACCTGAGAACGATCACATGCATGCACATACACTCTACACAACAGGAGACTACTAGAAAACCTCCTTTTTCAAAACTGAAGTTATAACCAAATAAGAAAACAAGAAAGTCTAGGAAAAAAAGGATTTTTTTTTTAATTTTTTTATTCCTCTCTCATTCACCACAGTAGGCCTTTGGGAAATTCCTATTTCAGAAGCCTTCTACATAGAGAACTCTTTAGTGAATCTGTCTCAAATTGAAGCAGCGTAAAAAAAAAAGGCCGTACAATTTAACAAAATGAACAAGAAGTAGTTTCCAGGACAAGAGAACACCCAGCCAAGAATTCTAAGAACACTCAAGGATTAAAAGGTTGAAGTAGTCACTGTAGTGTAACATTCCAATTAAAATTTCCTTGTTATCAGGGAACTGGAAAATAACCAATGCAATGCTATTCATAAAAAGTTGCTAGGGGAACCAGGAGACTACAGACTAATTCTGAAATCTGTACTAAGCAAATTTTATTTTTGCTATAATAATAAATTTCAGTAAAGAGTAGTAGCAGAAATAGAGAACAGAAATATAGTTGGGAGACATAAACAGGATTTTTAAAAAGAAGTTTCCTCAGTTGAAGAACAAGCAAGGAAGAGGTTGTTGATGCAGAACATCTCACCACAGGCACTATAAATACTGAGAGTTTATATAAACTCAAAAAGCAAGCGGACACATTATAGCAGTAAAGTCCTGGCAAGCCTGACCTTTAAGTTTTTGGAAGTTGGTACAGTATTTGGAGAGTCTATCACTTTACTGTTCTTCAGTTCTTCCCTCTACAGCCTTTACTGATTACTGTAGGAGTCAGAACCTAGAGCAAGATGAATGCTTAATCTCTCATGGTAAAGCAACTCCTGTGAGTTTGTATGCTAATGACTAGATGGACTTTGATGTTTAATAGAAATTCTCTTCAAATTCTCTTCTTCCTAATCAGTAAAGACCCATTAAAATGAATATTCTTGATAACACCTAGGCAGGATATTGCCTTTGATTAAAACCTAGAGTCTTCAATATCAACTCCGGTCCTGTCCGGATTGAATATGTCTAAGCCTCTTCCTGATGTAAGAATAAATAAAAATTGTGGTTTGAGCTTATTGAATTGCTTTTATAATGACATATTTAAACAGGCTGACAAGTCAAGGGTGCTTATGCAAAGTCAGACAGGATACGTAAGTTTATAATAAGAATTTACCTAACTTGTTATCAATTTTTCTAATTGTACTAGACAAAAAGGCAGGAAACTGAAATTAATTAATTTGCGAGACTAGTTTTCTTTCTTTCATTTCTCAATTGTCTTGCTACATTTATATTTATATATACACACACACACACACGTATTCTGACTTCAAAGAAAAAGAAAAAAGTTGTCCTAATGCGATTGGCTGAAGATAAGATCAACTCTGAGAATCTTTTGAAATAAGAAATAATTTCATAAGATCAGCTCATCAGTGGCAAAAAGTTCAGTTGCGAAAGCAAGGATAAAAGACATCAGACGTGGTCTTTGAACTCCTGGATGCCAGTTGTTACTGAACTTTTTCGTTCTTCATCAGCACTGCAGCCTATAGAGTGATGGTTGCTGTTATTCTACACATTAGAATTGTTAACTTCTGAGAAGGTAAAACCAGCAACCTCACAATTTATCGAAGAATGGTCAGTTACGCAGTCTTGAAAAAAACAGTCTGTACAAACAACTTAGGGACTATATCTTAGCATACAAACATCAATGTTCCTTTTAGCTTTAATCCTCTACTGTTTTCTTCTAGTAAATAGCTGCCGTGCGATCACATAGTCTAAAGCAAATTAGAACTTCTGTTCCAATTTAAGAATGAGATTTGGCTGTGCAAGGGCTACAGGGTTGGTTTTTTGTAGCTGTGTTCGAGATACCTGGGACAGTATTTTACATTTAAATTTTGTTTCAGTTCAAGCAATACCTGGTAGGCTTCTGCAATAAAATAAATGAAAAAAATTTTTAAAGAAACTTTCCTACTACCTTTCACTTTTACACATAAACAGATACACATCCATAATTGCTTGTTACATCTACAGGTTTTGGGGAAGGTTGGGAGTGTATTTACACAGATTCCTGAATAAGCTGATGAAACTTTTGTGAGCCTGAGAATACATAATGAGACAACATGCTAGAAGCATCTACCAGAATCTTTGTATTGTTATAGAATACTAAAAAAAAAAAACAAACAAAGAACACAAGTAAACTTCATTCTGAACTGTATTACTTAGTCTTGATATCACTAAAAGATCTGTAGCGGAACACAACATGTCGGGATATTTATCTTTCTTGCAGATGCTTTTAAGAATGTGATTTTGGCATATTAATTGGCAAAATAACATGGAATGCCTTCAGTGTGTTATTCTAAATGTCATTGTAACATAGAATACAAGTAAGTATTGAAAACACTTTGGAATTTATATCATTTCTTACAACTCATTCTTTATAGAATTTGCATCTATATACATCAAGAGCAGCTTCGTTTTTAGCTGACTAGAAATTTGAAATTATTTACACTCAACTCCAGAGAGATGGTCTGTTGCTCAAATTAAGTTATTTAACTGCAAAATATGAAATCACTGAAACTTTATTTCTGATTCACAGCTGAATCAGAGTTTGCACAGAACTCTAATGTGTACTTAAAATAAGTCATCATTCCTCCTTTTACAGAACAGCCTCAAAGCTAATCATGAACAAACATGTCATTGTAGATAATCATGCTCAAGACAGAGCACCTACCACACCAAAACTACAGAGCCAGTAAAACTGTTGAATTATATCAAGTCAGGCAGCTCAGCTACTACTGGTCATTCATACTAGTGTCATTAGAAACATGATCAGTAAGGATGCTCTGTAGGTTGATTGGCTGGGGGTTTTTTGGCAGTAGTTCTTCAGGGGGTTTTTGGGTTTATTTGTTTTGTCTTGGGATTTTTTGTGAATAGCTCAGTGACTCCCGCAGAACAGGCTTTCATTCCTGGGGCGTCCCATCCCCACAGCTCCCTATGCTGCCCCTTTGGAGTTTCCATCATAAGAAAATGTTGAGGGCAAAATCTCACTTGGAATACATATATCCTACACCTTGATACAGCATGATTCACATGATGCTTCTCTAATGTGTTCTTTTTGCTCTTTCTATACAAGGTTTAAGGGGTTTTGAACAAAGTTCTGCTTTCCACACTGAAGTGAAACCACTGTAACAAGCAGGATAAAAGTTAAGAAAAATATTTAAGCTTAAAGTGGGAACAAGGTGAGAACTCAGGGTGGATCCAGTTTCCTGAAAGATAATTTTCCAATATTTTCTACCTATCCTGAAAGAAGTGAATTTGCTCAAGTGTGTCTATACCAACGCACGTAGCATGGGCAATAAACAGGAGGAGCTGGAAGCCATTATA